TCCAGGCTGGCCAGCAGCGGCAGCCGCTCCACCCCGCTCAATGACAATGAGGTTGTAGTCCTCTGTGGTGTTGCCTGGGAAGACCTTGAACACGGGTGGCTGGCTGTCAGCTGTGAGGTCCAGATCCAGGCGCTCCAGACTGACTCTTGGGACCTTGCGCATGAGTCCACTCACATCCCCCTCACCAGAGCGGGCCCTGCAGGACACAGTGTTGCTGAGGGATGAAGCACAGCCTGAGCCCACCACTACCTGCCTGCTGCCCACTAAGCCACCACTCACCGCTTCACACCGGACACGTGGGGCTCCGCACTTGAGTATGGGTCATCTGCTTGGGAGATGGAAGAAAAGAGGGCACTAGGTTAGGGCAGGAAGGATGCAACCTCCCATGGGTAGCACTGGGGCAGCTGGCCCACTCACCTGACCCGAAGCCATAGCCTTCCTGCACCTCCATGGGCTGTGGGCAGAGAGCAAGAGATCAGGAACCTCCCTCAGGTGGTGGCTCTCAAGCTACCATGCCCCACATGCCTGCTGCCCCACCCCCACCCCCACCACTACCACACCTTGCTCCCTCTCCTCCCGCCCTCACCTGGCTGCTGCCGGAGCCTTGCTTGCTCAGTGGGCCAGGGGCCCTCGGGGGGGCCATAGGTGAAGGGCCTGTAGAATTGGTGCCTGGGCGCTCTGCCACGATTTTGCCTTTTTTGGTGGGGGGGAGAGGAGAGAGGTTAAGCCAGGTGGAGTGTGGACAGGGAGGGGGAGGGACCAGAGACAGACTCACCAAAGGCCTCTGCACTCTTGGTCCAGGCATTGAGGTCCCACTGGAACTTCATCTCCCCATGAGGCTCCACTGGGTCCACGATCATCTTAAGGGCCCGGTGCAGCTGGAAGTAGATCTGGGAGGGGGAAGTGTTAAGTGTTTAGGGACCTTGTGCCTGCAAGGGACAAAACCCCCCCAGCTCTGCCACCAGCTCACCAGCTTCTTGGAGAGCAATAGGGCCGTGTTGTTATCACTCTCCAGGGCCCAAGATGCAAAGCGTAGGATGTGCTCCTGGTGCTTCTGGATCTTGGTCATAGTCCAGTGCTGCCGCTCCAGCCGTTCCTGCTGTCCCTCAGTCACCTTCTACAGGGACAAACATAAGCCTCAGAGAACCTGATGGAGCCAGGACCCTCCCAACTTAAGAGTGAGCAGGGTGTGCACCTGGGCATCATTGACCAGCACACGGCCCCGCTTGTTCAGCTCCTTCATGATCTGCAGGATGGCCATCTTGACGTCCACCTGCACGCGCTTCTGCACATCGGACACCTGGCGGATCCTGAGGGAAAGCAAGGGAAAGGTCAGACTGGGTGGGGTAGAGGCTGCCGCCCCCAGTGCACCAGCGCCACCACTTACGAGCTGCGAACGTCCTTGGTGCTCTTCTGCAGCGTGGCATGCTTGTCCCCAAGGCGCTTCACCAACGAGGCCAGGAGCTTGCGCTGGTTCCTCACCGCATCCTCCAGGAATTGGTACCTGTAGGGTGACAGAGAAGGCGGGGTATGGGTGCTGGGCACAGGAACTGGACTGTCTTCAACACCTGGGGCTGGCTTAGGACTCACTGGTGGTCCTTGTGGGCGTTGAGTTGGCAGTCCCGGCAGGTAAGGGTGTCACAACTCTCACAAAACAGCACAAGGGGCTCGTGCTTGTGCACATTGCAGAACACTGTGCGCTCGCCGTCCCGAGTCTTGGCTGGCCCTGTGGGAGCAACAGTGAGGCTGAGCTGGGCCACCCCCAGCTCTTTGTGTATCATACCTGGTGGGCTTGATCTGTGGACATAGGGGGGGGGG